ACAAAAAAAAAAAAAAAAAAAAAAAAAAAAAAAGAAGAAAAATAAGAATTGTTTCTGTGTATTAAGTAGATGGAAGAATAACCAACAGTAATTCATAATGTTTTGCTATGCCCAAGCCTGAGTCCCTAGAACTGGGTCAAGAAGAACAATAGAGATGCTTAACCACATCACAAAACTCATTTTACTTCAGTCTTCTACTCCCAAATGTCATGGATCCAGAGGCCACCACTACAGCCCTCTGTCACTTCCCTTTCAACAGTTGAGATGTCCAAAGTCCAGTCAAAGCCTTAGGGTCAACATGTATTTTCTGCTGCTAGCTCTGTAGCACTTATTCTTCCAGCTACACAACAGAAAGGAAGAGAAGTCCAATAATTCTCAGGATATTTTATGATTTAAACTCTAAACTTGGAAAACCAAAGAACTCAGGTTTTGGGGACTCTCAAGGTTACAGACCTTTAATATTATATGTCACTGAAGTATGTATTAAAAAGACAAAAATGAATCTGTGGTGTTAAAAAAAAGTGTCATTGAGACACAGAAAGATAAACATGGTGAAGAGAAGAGGACTGCTTAATTATTTGGTTTATATGGATGTGGATCACTTTGCTAATTTATGTAAATGTTTACCCATTATTCCTGATTACTCTGTAGCAAAACACTGATAATCATTAAACATTAAAAATTTAAAAATGAGTCAGACTCATTGATTTGGATTCTCCTTTAATTAATAAATATTCATATAACTTTCTACATTTGATGAACATATGTTTGAAACATGACAATAAAAAATAGGTAAATTGATCCAGAGTTCCACCATACCATCAGTAAGTTTGTGCACATCCTGGGGGAGCAGCTGTGTGGACCAGAGTCATTTGGTATGGCTGCAGGTAGGGCCCTGCCCCAATGCCAGAGTGCAGGCACATGTCCCCAAACTACAGGCCACCTACAAAAGAGCTGAACAGGTGTGCAAACTTCATCCAGAGTTCTACCACATCATCAGTAAGTGTGTGCACATTCCAGGGAGCAGCTCGTGGGCTGACATGGCTGCAGGTGGGTCCTAGCTAAGGCCCTGTCCTGACCTGACCCAGGAGGTATAGGTACATGTGCCCAAGCCACAGCTCACCAAGAAAAGAGCTGCACCAGTGTGCAAGCTTCATCTGAGGCTCTCCATGACATCAGCTACAGCCAAGGCCCCACCTGGAAAAGAACTACACAGACACATAGGCAACAGCCAGAGGCTTGCACAGATATCATTGTCAAGTGCCTGGAGACCCTAGCCAGAAGGCTACACAAGATAACAGGAACTGGGATACACAGTCCCCAGCCAAAGCCCCCCCAACAACCGATATATAAGGGCCCAAGCAAGAGGCACACCTAGAAACCATTGCAAGTGTGCACAGGTCCTAGCCAGAAGCCCTCACAGCCAATAGGTCAGCTCAGGGATATAGAAGGCCACCATTCTAAACCCAGGAATTGGTATGGTTGGTGGTCTACTGAGAATTGAAGACCACTGGGTGAGCAAAAGTTTCCCTCAACAAAGGCACAGCAGGCTGCATCTGTTAAAATGAGAAGCCATGGAAATAAGCATAAAAGCCAGACTTCCAGATCACAAAGGGAAATAAGATGGAACAATCTGATACTCAACTGACAATGAAAGAAGACTTGGGAAAAAATTAAATCAGAAATAATTTCTCAGATAACAGCAGAGATTGTGCCCATAATACAAGACATGATTAATAAATCTAGAGCAGACACATATCTAAAAAAACATAAATCAACTGAACATTTAATTATTAGAGATATATTTTTTAGAAATTCAATTATTGCAAACCTTGATCTGAAAATATTTAGGTACTAGGTAATAATATTTACTGTAAAATTTCTAGACAGCATGTAAAAGTTTTTAAAAATTTTGCCCAAATTTTTATTAATGCTATTTTGAAAACAAAAGTGTAGAAATGTGTGTGTATTTGTGTGTGTGTGTGTGTGTGTGTATGTGTGTGTGTATCATTTAAAGATACAATCTTTCTACTCTGTTAATAATGTTTAAAAGAGAAATGTTGTCCAATCTGTCACTGGAAATTTCCTACTATCAACCAAAGTAGCTCTGGGTCCTGCCTGGATTCTGAATCTAGATGTTGGTATAATACAATTTGTGAGTGATTAGATTGCTCATCTTTTGTCTTACTTTTCTCTTTGCTGAGACAAAATACATGACACTCAAAGTTAAAGGAGGAAAGGTTTATTTAGCTCACAGTTGATAGAGGCTTTAGTCCATAATTGACTGGGTGCAAGGCAGGGTAGCACATGACAGAGGTGCAACAGTTCATGGAAGACAGAAGGGAACAAAGCAACAAGAGACCTTATAGTGTTTTCTGTCCCTTTTATCTTACACAGACTTCTTAGGGTGGGCAGCACTCACACTCTTAATCCTAGTGCCCTTGATCTTAGCATTGTACCATGAATCAATTCCAGTGTCACACACTCTAGATCCAGCCACCTCTGCAAAAGCCCCACCTATGACCTCATGAGACTTTTGGGGGGAAATCTAAACACAAGCTATAACATTTCAACCATGACCACACAACAAATCATGCATACCTTTATGAAAAGGCATTTAGTCCATCTCCAAGAGTTGCTAAAGTTTTAATAGTTTCAGCATTGCTAAAGTGTCCAAGTTCAAAGCCTCCTCTGAGATTTAAAGCAGACTCTGAGGTGCAAGCCCCTGTACCAATGAAAAGAAAGTTAAACACTTCCAATATTCCATGGCATAAGACAGACATTTCCATTCCAAGGTTACAAAGAGGGGAACAGCAAGGAATGAGAAAGAAGCAAGAGCAATGGTTCCCCAGCAAGGGAACCATTAAATCCCAGAGTTCCACTTACAGCATCCCTGCAAACTGCGATGAGTTGTGAACTCCAAAGGGCTTAGGTGGCTCTATCCAATGCCAGTAGTTGTAGTCTCATGTCTACTCTGTGAAGCCTGTTATGCTTCCTCCTTGAAATATTCCCCAGGCAATCCATGGTTCTGTCTTCTCCAAACTTCTAGAGTCTCCAATTCACTTTTGGCTTCACACTCGCAGTTTCATGTACTGCCCTCTCAGGGGCACAATTCCTGACTTCCAAGGCCTTCTGAAATCTGGGTGGAAGCCTTCCTGACCCCACAACTCCTGCATTCTGCATGCAACCAAAGCCATAACCATGTGGATGACACCAAGGTCCATCACCAGCTGCAGCAGTAGCAAGATTCCTTTTCTCTTGGCTGTAGGGGTCTTAGCACCTATGAATGAAATCCCAAGAAACAACCTCCATAGGCCACCACCATTCTGGAACATTGTACTCTGGAATTTCTTCTCAAAGTCTTTTATTTTTGCAATTCTGAGGCTGAAGGGGCTGGAGTCCTCTTGGTTCTTATGATGTCATCAAGCCATCTTTTCTGTTGTCTTCTGAAATACTTGGCTTTTTTTCCCCCCTGCTAGTCTTTTCAGTGGCTACTTTCTGCTCTGTTACATTTCTGCAGGCCAAAACTTTACTGGAGCTTTCTTTGTGTTCAAACTTGAAATGCTTTAAATCATATTCCTCTATACTGATTCTCAACATAAATCTGGCTAAAAGCCTCCAACAGTGGCCATACCACTGCCTCAACACTAGACTGCTTGAAATTTCTTCTGTAAGATTAGTTTGCTGACCTTAATCTCAGCCTCAGACAGAGTCTCTGGACACAAAATGCAGACAAACTTTCTGACAAGGCATGCTCACATCATCTGGAGTCCAACAGCCAATGCAATCCTTCACAGCAGAAACTTCCAAAGTCTGGACTTTACTGGCAGAATTTCTACCAGCATCCTGGTCTTTTGAGCTCTAACCAGAATTATCTGTCAAGTACAGCCTTGGGTATCCCAACTCTACTTTTTCAACTGGCATATCTAAACCTTTCCTTATAGGTTTAAATAAATGCAAAGGAATCAAAGTTATCCCTTGTATATTATCAAACCATAGTGCAATTAAGCTGGAGATCATTAGCATAAGAAACCATAAGAAATTCACAAAAACATGGAAATTGAACAGCACTCCTCTGAACAATCAATGGGTCACAGAGGAAATTAAAGAAGAAATTAGACAGTTTTTACAAATAAATGATAATGCCAATATAACATACAGGAATCTATGGGGGATCACTTCTCGGCCTTTTGACTAAGATCAAGTGTAGGAATCTATGGGAAACAATGAAAGCAGTTCTATGTGGAAAATTCATAGTAGTGAATGCCCACACTAGGAAACCAGAGAGAGCTCAAATAAAGAACCTAATGATGAATCTTAGGCTCCTAGAAAAAGGAAGAGAGAAAAACCCAAAGCTCACACAAGGGAGGGAATTATAAAGATCAGAGCAGAAATCAATGCAATGGAAACTAAGAAAAATGATACAAAAAATCAATGAATAAAAGAGTTGTCTTTTGAAAGAATAAATAAAATCTATAAACCCTTAGCCAACCTTGTCAGAAAAAGGAAACAAAGGCTCAGATCCATGTAATTAGGAATGAAAAAGGTGAAGTCACAGCAGATCCAGCAGAAATGCAGAGGATTATGAATGCCAACTTCTAGAACCTGTACTCTAATAAAATG